CTCGTAGGAAACCATTACTATCCAAAAATGGTGTTTATTTTAATAACTTACTGCTAGGCATTAATGGCTTATTTTGTTTTAAACAATTAATTTCGGAAGAAAATGAGTCAACTTGACTTTTTTTCAAAATTAATTCCTCTGCCTCCTTCATTAAGCTAATATCAAATGAAACATTTTTATTTCGACATTTCCTAATAAAAAATAAAACTCTAGCAGTTGAACGAATAAGTTTAATCCAAGATGAAAACCGTAGTTCATCAGGTAAAGAAAAATTTAATTTTACTTCATCATATGACACAACTAAATATATATTACGCTTCTCACAATCTAATCCCTCCGCGGAAACCACTCTCTTTAAGGGGCAGGCCATCGCTCTTCAGGTAAAAGTAAAAACTCGGGACCTCGAAACCATGTATCTTTATATTGAATTGGCGGCGAATCTTCTTTGGTGGCTCGATCAGCTATATTTAAAGAAGTAGGTACATATCTCCACTCATTCGCTACAGTCAACTCGTCTATCTCGCCGAGCCGGTACGCAACATATGGTTTGTAAGTCCTCGGGTCACTTGAAATCCATTGGAGAACGGTGCTTGAGTCAGTCCAAAAATATCGCATGTTAGGCTTTACAGTCTCCTGTTCCTTCTGCACAGTTTTAGCAAGTCGAGCGGCTATCAAGGCTCCCTGTAATTCTAGTCTTGGTACGGATATAGGACGTAGTGGAGTCACCCTACTCTTACTAACCACAAAACAAACTTTTACCGAACCATCTGAACGTGTAAATCGATAATAGATTACCGCGGCGTATGCCTTAATTGACGCGTCACAAAAAATATGCATTTGCGTATCAGTGATAAAAAGGTCAGTCTCGTGCGTGCATGACTCATCATTATCATAACACGGCATCCACACACCTGCGTTGTCATAACAACGCGGCACGCGCAGCGCGCGAAGACACTTCAATTCATCTAACCATTTCAACCAACGATCGTTCTCAATAGGACGGATCTGACACTGCCAGTCCACCCCACTTCGATGCACATCTTGTAATAATATTTTACTTTTAATAATAAAAGGAGACAAGAAACCATGTATATCGTAAACTGACATAATTATGCTTAACATCATAGCTTTTGTAGGTCGAATAGTTCCATTTAAAATATGTTCGGGAATACGATTTAATGAAATACTAAAACCAAACGTATCATCCGTAGGATGCCATATCAATCCTAGTGTACGCTCACTTGTGTGTGTAGCTCCGTCTTTGAATTGAACAGCGGAGCGCGCGAGCGAGTCGTTCGGTATGTTTTCTAAAACCGGTTTGCTATTGCTCGCCCAACCTCTTATCTCGAAACCTCCGCTATTATGAATAGACGTTATTTCGCGCACTAACTTTATTGCCATTTGCTCATTATTTACAGTATAAACACAATCGTCCATATAATGATTATTGAGAATAATTTTTACAGCGTCGGGAAACGAATCTTCGTATTGTAATGCATTCTTGTTCTTTATAAATTGAGCAATGAAAGGTGAACAAGTTGCACCAAAAATTAAACTTTGCATTACGCAATGTTTAATAGGTGAATCACTTGATTCTTGCCATAAAAAGCGACATACATTCTGGTCCTCTTTTCCAACTTTAATACGTAAAAACATATCTTTAATATCTGCAATAATTGCTATTTTATTCTCTCTAAATCTTAACATAATACCAAATAATGAATTGTATAAATCGGGACCAGTAATCAAATAATCATTTAAACAAATATTATCCACCCGACCGGCTGCATCAAAAACTAACCTTAACTTTCCTGGTTTATTTGGATTCTGAACACCAAAATGAGCCAGGTACCATACATGAGAAAAATCATCTTTTAGCTCTTTATCGCTAAGTTCTCGTGCGTAATTATTTTCAAGTAATCTAGCCATTTCTATTTTATATCTAGCGGCGTAATCGCTATCAGTGCTAAATTTTCGTAACAACAACTTATTTCGTGAAAATGCGTAATTATAAGAATTAGGCATAGTAAACTCATCCTTTTTGAACGGTAAGCCTACCTCCCAATGGTTACCTATTTTCCGAGACGTATTCTCTTATATCTCCAATGCTCTAACATCAGCCTTATTTTCACGACATACGGTTGAAATTCCTACAGAATCAATATCGAACGAATTTTTTATCAACTCATTTAATTCAATAATATGAGATTTGTTTTCTTCGGAGTGAGCGAGATGAAAAATAGGTTCACTTACCTGAGTGAGCGAGTGAGTGCGACCACAGTAGCCATGAATGGACCATCCCAATCGACATTTAGTTGCATACGGCGCATTTCTGTTTCCGTGCCTTATTTCGACTGGAGCGATAAGAAAGTAATTATCTTCACCTATGAGCAAACGCGGTACAACACATTGTTTACAAACAAATTCTTTTATGGGTAATAAATGTTTACATGTTAATTTATTGATAATAGACAAATTTTGCATAGGTAAATTAAGTTTTGATACCTTTCGTAACGTAATATTATACTTAACGCTGTCCATACAGTTATTACCGATCTGCACATGCACTTTCGGGGCGTCCGATTGATACACTTCGATTCCAAACGCATCAATGAACTTAATAGACGAACCCTGCTCACTTGTCAGTCCTAAGGTGTTAGCTAACTCAGAATCGATCATTGACACTGATGCGGCGTCATCTAATAAAGCATACGTGTTATAGATACCGTTAGGTCCATACAGTTGCACTGGTACTATTTTCAATAACACCTCACTAGCGGATTGCGCGACGTCACTGGATGCAATGTGAGCCACCGTTGCGTCATCGCAAGCGGTCGGCGACTGCGGTGGTGGCGGCGGGATGCCCTGGCGTTGCTGCTCAGCTGTTGACGCGTTCGGCTTCGTCCAATGAAGTAATCGGTGGTGAGATAAGCCGCAGTTGTTTACATCGCACACAGGCGCAGGACAAATGTTTCTATTATGACGAGCCAGTAAACAACAATAGCACAAGCCGTGATTTTTGATAAATTTCCATCTGTTTTTTCGCATAGCTCGACGAAAATGACGACAATCGGGCAGCTTATGATTTGTTTTGTTGCAAAAAATACATAAGTTCTTATTATCTTCTTCACTGACTGTGTTTACGGCTAATATAAGTCGGTTGCGAAACTTTGAGCTGTCTGTGCGTTTAAAAGTGCTTTCCGAAATTTTATTTATTTCTCGTGGTTGTGATAAGCCCACTAGTGCTGTCAACTCAGCTTCACGCTTAAGAAATGATGCCAGCACTTCAAGCTTCGGTCGACTTTCTGATAGCTTATCAAACGCATACTCAGTCCATTTACCAATTAAAGTACTTGGTAATTTTGATATTAATGCGGCGACCAGTTCTGGACTATGAAGATAGCTTTCTTGTTTGAGTGCCCTTATAGTTGCGACACAATTATTCACCTTCATCGAAAAATTTATTATTTCGCCTTGATACCAGCTTGACAAAGGTACTAACTTCTTTAATTGAGCTGTTATATTAAAAATAATAATGTCAGAGCGACCAAACCTTAATTCCAGTGCCTCCATTATAGTTTGAGGTGGTGTATTTCCGATTAACAAATCAGTCACAGCTTCTAAAGCATTACCTCTCAGTGCCCTGCGTAGCCTCCACAGGTTTTCTGAATCACTAAAATTGCACACTCGTGTGGACTCTTCATAAGCATTTTTGAAGTGTAACCACTCCACACAATCACCACCAAAAGAAGGCAAATCTCGCGGTGTCGCAAGTCTACTGAGCAGTCGTTCATCATGAGACGGCTTTTGGACTACTACTAAATCCTTTAGTGCTTGTGTTAACTCTTGGAAACTGGAACTTGGTTGCTCAACGCATGGATCAACGGGGGCTTCGCACTTGCTATCCAACCAGTTTTCCACCTGTCCCTGTTTCTCTTCACCCATCAGGTCCTGACTACACCTGCTACTACTGTCTCTTTGTTGATGCTGCTCTTCTTCTTCAGCCTCCATTGCAGCTAACTTTGCCTCTAATTGTTTGTCGATCAACTCCATTCTTATCTTCGCCTTAGCTTCTGCTGCTTCAAGCTCCAGCTGTTTGCGTCGTGCTGCTGTTGACGATGACGTTGACCTATTGGTCTTAACGGAACTCTTCACCGATTGGGTCGTCTTTTTAACGGATCCACAAAGTGACGACTGTTTTGAAGGTTCACAAATCGCATCTCGATTGTGCAAAAAATTACCACAGCTTAGGCTGGATTTTAGCTTGTCTTCAGCAAAGGTTGTTCGCCTGTTTCCACGGTCAGATGCAAATTCCATTTTTGCGTCGGCGTCTGCTTCTTCCTGTCGCTGGCGGCGGGTTAGTCTCTTCGATGCTGGAGTTCTAAACATTAATGCCACTTGTTTACGTAGATTTGGCTCGAAGACCAACTTTTATAAAGGATAGAAAATAAAACACAGCGTTTACCTTAAGTAACGACAGAAAAAAAAGTTGTCTTTTATTACCACCAAATAAATTTACAAAAATATTCAAAAACACCTTCAATAAAAAAGTTAATATAGTTGTCCTCTAGGTCAACAGATGGCGTTAGTAGTACACGAAACTTTAATAAGATACATTGTTTTTAATGATTTTTAGAAGATTTTACCAGATAATTATTTATATTTTCTTTTCATAACTATTATTACTTAATTTAAATTAAAGCACAGGCTCAGACATGCGTCGCCTACAGTAATCAGATATAAATTTAAATATTTCAAGCTTATAGTTCGTTCTTTTTATATAATAAATGTACCAATGTATATTGTAACGAACCTTATTCTAATGAGTTCATTAAACAATGCAATTCTTCTGCCAACGATTTAATGAACGTGCATTTGAAGTCGAAGTCATTTAAAATAAACATGCATTCTTCAAACGTGGCTCCTTTTGTACACAGTCGTTTAAATGCAATGTGAGTGCAAGAACGTAACACCTATAATTGTTTGTATTGTTTTTAATAATGCGACATATTTCCTGTGAAAAAGTATTTTTCTGTGGTTGTTTCTTTGCCATAGTATTCATCATTTTTAATTTATCCGTAAAAAGCAAAGGAAAAACTGAATATCTAAGGGAAGATCAATTGAAGTTCATATTGGAGTGGACATCACCGATGAAAGAACCTTTCTTGTTTCTGGGAATTGGTCAGGAAGGATTCAAGCGACGACGCTGCAATTACACCAACTGTTATATTACATCCGATAGATTTTTACTGCGCGATATGAGAGAATTCGATGTCGTCCTATTCCACGGGCCAGAAATTAATAGAAAACGTAGTAAATTGCTTGACATAAGGTCGCCACGTCAGAAATTTGTTTACGCTTCAAAGGAATCGTCTCATTACTACCCTATTTGTTCAAACAAATTGGAGAACTACTTCAACTGGACATGGACATACAGACTAGATTCTGACGCAAGATGGGGTTACATACTGGTCAAAGATAGAAATGGCACAGTTATTGGGCCTAATAAAATAATGCATTGGTTGAAATTAGAAGAAATGGAACCCGTAGACTTAATGTTTAAAGAAAAGTTGAAAAGTAAAAAAAAGGCAGCCGCGTGGTTTGTCTCCAATTGCAAAGATTTGTCTGGAAGAAAGAAATTCGGAGAAGCATTGAAAAGGCAACTAAAGAAATATAACCTTGATTTAGATATATATGGAGCCTGCGGGTCTATGTCATGTTCCCGTGATGAAGAAAAGGAATGTGATAGCGAGATAGATGAAATATATTATTTTTACTTGGCCTTTGAAAATTCTTTCAGTGAAGATTACGTAACAGAAAAATTATTACATGCTTTGAAGAATAATGCAGTACCTGTCGTTTATGGTGGCGCCAATTATTCAAGGTATATATATGTTTCCGGCAGTCTGTATAATCTGGTATTCTATACAATGCTCACTCATCAATCGTTGTAAAAGAAGATAGCGTTCTCTTTCAAAAGAAACTACGTATTTTGTAAGAAAAAAATATAAGAAATGCTAAAAATATCAATTTTTAAAACTAAATTACTATGTTGTCTTGTAAATTAAGGGATTTTTAAATCGACGAACAAGAAAATAAACATTTATACATAAATAAATGTTTATTTTCTTGTTATGTACAACTCAAAGAAAAAAATTAGTAATTTTCTATGCAAACAGAGTCAGCTCAAGATTCACAAAATACGTAGTTTCTCTTAAACGTGTATAGACACACTGAGTAACTGCTCTAATGCCTCTTGTTTCATACCCGATATCCTTCTGCACTTCTTTCTTTTGCTTATTAAAAGCAGTAGTCCCTCAGCTTTTTACAAAAATCATTGTATAAAGTACAAAACCAAACTTTTCAAATAAAAATTCTGGTTATTTTTCGATGTAAACAATCAGTCAATAGTCATTAAATAACAGTCTTAATAAAATTCTAAACATTCACATTCTGTTCACAAGTGTTATCCATCAGGATAGCGCTTCGTCGGCCGCTGCGGTGGCACGCTGCGGTCGCTCGGCTGATCCTTAGTTTAATGACACCTCTAAGTTAACCTATTATGAGTTAGTAAAACGTTCATTCGGTGAGAATAGGGATGATGACTATTTTTTTTTCTTCGTTTATCTAAAGTAGATTATCTAGGTAGATTATCAAAAAGTGTTGGACACGTATTTTTTCTTTTTTCACATAATATAAACATTGCAGAGCTATATTCGTTTGAAAAGTCGCATGACGCCACGTTTGAGAACACTTTTAAGTGAAAATTCACTAAAAAGTGACGTCACGAGCTCCCAACTCCCAAACTTTGACGAGCTATAACTTTGTCATTTTTTGGTTGTTTGCCCAATTATTTTTTGAACATCTAACTGACGGACTAAATAAAATTTCGTTTACTGTACCCCGTCATCACCCTTATTATTAAATCTATCCGTCTTTTCATATCCATCTGAGTAGGCAAGCTTAGGTTCAGATAAAATAGAGGCTAAAATCTATTTATTTTACACAATGTCGGTGGATCAGCATTTATTCTATACCATCTTTAGGAATTGTAAAGGCACATTGTCTAGGCATTGTAAAGAATGCCTGATTTACACAGATTACACACACACGCACACATATACACTTAACATAAATAATTTTAATATGGCTTTTCACGGAAACAAAATCGAATGCACATCATTTACAATTACATCACAAATAGCTCATGTGATTCATGAGATATTTCTGATGTAATTGTAAAATCAATATTAGGGTATCAACATCAATATTATGTTAATGCCCTAATATTCAACTACCTCGCAACATATATATAGCATCATAAATATTTAATATTGTTTTTTTTATGTTCCTACCATTTAATTTTTTAGATTCATGCCAGAAGGAATTTACTTAAACGCGAGGGATTTAGGAGTTAAAAAGTTGGCGGCCAAAATGAATGAACTCATTCAAGATCCAGATAAATACGCGGAATACTTCAGATGGAAGAATCACTACTCGTTCCATTCCAGAGATGAATATGACAGTGCGCACAATGAGTACTGTGAATTTTGTGCGCTATTGAATGATGAAGCTAGAATGTCAGAAGTCACGACGATAAGCAAATTTAAAGAATGGTGGAATAAACCCGATTCCTGTTGATATTTTGACAGGAGTCTTAAAAAACACGCGAATATAGGTACCTACCTTCTTCTTGTTCTTTTATCACGGCTGTCATAAAACCTCAAAATTATTACGATGATTAAGTACTAGAGTGGTGCATGTGCTATTCATGTCGAGTGTAGGGATTGCAATCCCGCAAAACGGGATCACGCATTTCCTCGGGATACCGCTGCTTTTTATTAATATGCTGGATCCCGCACCTTAAAAACGTGGATCCGAGGATCCCGCAAATCAAAAATTTGGTACTAACATTCGCGAGACAATACGAACGAAACGCATAAATCGAGAGTAGCAAGAGCACGATGTTGCAGTTCCGCACAGCCCGCCAGCGCGGCGCAAATCAGAAGCAGGCTTGGAGATGATACAATAAATGCCATTTGCTTATTAAGGGCGTATTTTTAAAAGTTTTCACCCTAGGTTGATATTACAGTAATAACATCTAAGAAAAATATGTGATTTCATTATACGAATAAGGGTAAAATTAAACAAAACTATTAAGCTAATGTCGAACCACGATAACTTTTCAGAGTCAATGTTCTGGTCACATCAGAAAAACCTAATCTGGGAGCCCTTTTAAGACATCATTCAAAAATGTCGTAAATGTCATGTCATACAAAAATCTTTAGTTTGAAGAACATTTTTTGTTTGTTTGTGGAGTGAATAAATAGAGAAATTTGGAGTCGGAGGAGTAATTTATTAAATAATAAGTTATAACAAATCTGCCAACGATCAAATGGAGTCGGTTCTTATGAAAAGGAGCAATGGTATGAAGATAAATAACCTTGACGAGTGAGTTGCAATTAATTTCTTGATACTAGTTTGTTTTTGTATTGCTATTTTTATTTAGATTTCAAGAGTTAAGTTCACATAAAGTTAGATAAAAAACTATTGTTTTAATTATGGACGAACATTAGTTTCGTAGCATTTATTTTAGAAGAATAAGTTCTTATAACATATTAATTTGTAGTAGTAATTGTATTCCAAACATTTTGCATTACACTAATTGTAAAAATGTTTTCTTATAAGTATTTTATCTACAGATGATTGTATAATAATAGGAAATGCTAAATGAAGGGAGATATATTGAAAATGTAGAAGGAGAGGTTGAATATTCAAATTAAATGAAAGAAAAGAAAGTGGACATTTAATATGAAGGAATTAAAGTTTTGGATTCGGATCTATCTTGCAGTGAAATAACAGTAGTTTTAATTTTTTAGAACATTTTTTTTTTATTTTATATACTTGCCTAATGGTAAAGCAATACTCAAACCGCACTGAAAGCAGAACACGTATATGTAGCCTCGAACATAAAGTATGGGGTAATTCTGTAAAAAAATATAGACTAATCTTTGCACAAAAACAATGCATTAGATCTATTGCTTAATGTTGATTCTAGGGTTTCTTGCAGGCCTTTGTTCAAATCTTATAAGTTGTTGACAGTTCCGTGTATTTATATTTTAAAAATCTGTATGTTTTTCAAAATGCACCCTGAAGTTTACAAAATTAAAAAAAAACTGCTGTACATTTAATACCACCAATTTGGTGCCGCAGGCCAAAACCCCTCGACCATTGGTGGTCAAACGCAGGGTCTGGCACTATGGGTCGGCAGATTAGGATGGTATGCGCGATTACTTTGCGTCCGTCCCTTGGATGCAGCGCTGCTTCAATGAAAAGGACGTATCATCCAGCGCCGTTGCCATTACTGAGGAGATAATGGGAATGGAGTATTACATTCCACATTCTGATCTCATCAGTAAGGGCACACGTAACCGTTGGTTCAATCGCGATTGTGCCGATGCTGTTTCTCGTAAGCAGGCGGCATATCGCGCTTGGATCAGAGGCCGCGCTCTTAAGGATCCCGGGGTTAACTCACTGAAAGATGCCTATAATAGTGCTTCCAAGTCTTGTAAGAAGGCTTACATCAGAGCGGATGCCTAACGTGTAGCACGTACTGGCCACGAATTGTTAACGCACCCTACGGGCTCCCGTAGTTTTTGGCGTTTGGCCAAGGCCGTGCAACACAACTTTTGCCAGCCCTCGTTGCCACCTCTGCGATGTCCAGATGGGTCACTAGCTCATGAGCCGCAAGAGAAAGCCGATTTGTTGGTAAAGCTCTTTGCGGCTAACTCCCGAATCAGTGATTGCAATGCACTGCCACCTACACTACCTCATTGTGGCACTACGATGCCTGACATTATGCCTGACATTAAAATCAGGCAGCGTGATGTTCGTGCGGAGTTGCAATCACTTGACGTCCGGAAAGCTAGTGGACCCGATGGCATCCCAGCAGTTGTTCTAAAACATTGTGCAGCGGAGTTGTCTAACGTGCTTACGCGACTGTTCCAACTCTCTTACTCTTAGGGGCGTGTGCCGGAAGCTTGTAGAGACGCCAATGTGCAACCGGTGCCCAAAAAGGGGACCGCTCAGACCCGGCCAACTATCGGCCGATAGCTGCCACCTCAGTGTTGTGTAAAGTCTTAGAAAGGGTCCTTAACAACCACCTGACCCGCTACCTAGAAGATTACTCTGTAATTCACGATCGTCAATACGGATTTAGGCCGAATCGATCGACGAGTGACCTTCTAGCGTACGTGACACACATCTGGGGTGAAGCTATAGACAAGCGGGGAGAGTCTCTGGCTATTAGCCTTCACATCGCCAAGGCTTTTGACAGGGTCTGGCACAAAAGCCTTCTCTCCAAGCTTCCTGCATACGGTCTGCCTGCTCAGCTCTGCGCCTGGGTAGCTGACTTCCTGCATGAGCGTAAAATTCACGTCCTTACGGATGGATGTAGTTCGCAGTTCATGTCAGTGAATGCCGGTGTTGCTCAGGGCTCCGTTCTATCCCCCACATTCTTTCTGCTGCATATCAATGATTTGATTCCACTTGCGAATATTCATTGCTATGCAGACGATAGCACAGTGCATGCGAGTAATTTGGACACGCGACGGCTTTACAGGTAGAAACCATGGAGAGACGGGAGAATCTTGTCGTTGAGCTCAATCGGGCTTTGGACCACATTTCCGAATGGGGTACTAGGAACTTGGTTGAGTTCAATGCCAAGAAAACTCAGGCTTGCGCTTTCACCTGACCTGAATCCAAAGGACTACATCGAAACGTTGATCAAAACAGCTTCACGCAAACTCGGAGTCCTGAACAAGGTGCGGCGTTTTTTCACACCCGATCAACTGTGCTTGTTGTACAAAACGCAAGTGCGGTCCTGCGTGGAATATTGTTCGCACCTCTGGGATGGCTCCGCTAAGTACTTACTCGATGCCTTGGATAGGTTGCTGCGGCGCTCTGCCAGCATCATTGGCGATGAAGAGGTAACTAAGAAACTCGAGTCTCTACAATTACGCCGTGATGTGGCATCATTCTACCGACTATACCACGGCAAGTGTTCTGAAGAGCTATTTTCGCTTATCCCTCCATCACCTTTTCTTCAGAGGACCACGCGCGCTGGCTTACGTTGCCATCGACTTACTGTGGCCACTATTCCTACACGACCAAAGAAAGGCGACTCATTTCTTTGTCGTACTATTCGTAAGTGGAATTCTTTACCCGCGCCCTTTCCCCCTTTACCCCTTTTCCTATAATCTGGGGTCCTTTAAGAGAGGTGTGAAGAAGCTTTTTTGCGGGCCGGCAAGGTGAGGATGGTTGGTGTAGCAGTTAATAACTGCTGTACCAGCTATCTTCGCGTTTGGACTTTATCACCATTTAACATCAGGTGGGGTAGAGTCATTTGGCCACCTAGTAATATAAAAAAAAACTAGGTATTCAAAAAAAAATTATACCGGACTCTAGAACTGAAATTTGTAGCAGATATAGCTTGACAATATCCATGAAAATATTAACAATCTACTTGAGCCGTTACCTTTGTCCTTACTCAGACGTCGTCTATACAAATTATTAATTGAAAAATTCTATTATTCACCTGCAGAGTATTTTGAAAACAAGTAGGTATAAATGAAATTTTTATTTTGGACATTTATTATTCCAAATTTTGATGATCTATTTAATTTATTTGAAATTTTATGATACTGATTTTTGGAAGATCTTGAGAGTAAACAAATTTTCTAACAGTAAAATATGTGAGACATGATAATAGTAGAACACCTTTTGTACCATATTTTTTGCAATAAATTATTATTATTAAAGTATCAGTGAACGTTTATTTTACAATAATCAGTACTGCCATGTAATAAAAAATGTGCTATTGTCAGTTTACTGCAGACTTATCGTGGGCCGACTGTATGCCAAATATTTAAAGATGAATCTAGGAAAACAGATTAATAGTTAAACTTAATTAATAGAAAATTAATAATATATATGTTGCTGAATGTTTCTTACATTAAGCAACAACAATCATTTTTTTCTTTAATGTTTAATAAAAATATATTTTTACACATAACTAACTGTAGATTCAATTTGATTCTATTAGGTTGGGAAAAAGTTTCTTCGGACTTTATATTAAAAGTCAAAACAATAAGCAAAAAGCATGTAAGTGCCATTTTGTTTGATAAGGATTTGCCATCTTGTAGATCGGGACATGATCCGATTGCTATAGAAAATTTGTGGCTTCTAATCAAAAAACCGCAATAAGTGGTTTTGGCAGTCCTCTCGTGGTTTTAACCTGACACTGCGTAAAGAATTTTGAAGAGACCGAAACAGGAGGATGCATTAACACATCCCAGTCAAACTCTCTTAAATTTTGCTGAGTGGCTAAATTTGTGTGTGGTTTAGCATTATTATGCAGAAAAAATCCTTCTGTTGATTAATTCTGGCCACTTTCTCTCAAGTTCTTACTTTAACCTCATCAGTTGTCCGCAGTAGAGTTCATAATCGACGGTCCTGTCTGGCGGTAATAGTTCATAATGAATAATGCTATTCTAATCCCACCATACACACAGCATCACCTTGTTGCATGTTAACCCGGTGAAGCCTGATTGGCCCTTGATCACGACCTTTTTCGCACGTTCTTGTCGTACGTGATACCGTGGTCCACTTTTCATCACCAGTTCACAGTTTTTTTCAAAAATGGGTCGGTGTTATTACGTCGTAATAAAGAATCAGAAATGAATTCACGGTTCTTTCTGTGAGCTCGTGAGGTACCCAAATATCGAGCTATTTGTGTAGCCAGCTCTTTTAAAATGCGCCAAAACTGAATACAGTTTTGGCGCATTTGAAAAAAGCTGGGGATTGACAATAGTCAATTCCCAGTTCTACAGCTACGTCGTAACTACTGATATGCCGATCTTGCGCCGCTTTTTCAATAATGGCATCCATTTATCCGTACTAGGACAACCAGAGCGACGCCTCTCATCTTTACCGTCAATATTTCAGGTTTGAAAACGCTTAAACTAAATTTGTGATACTCTCACAGACACTGCACTAGGTCCATAAACATCACAATTTTATTTCGCGGATTTTTTGCCTTTTTAATTTTTTTGTAGTAAAAAATTACAATGTATTGAATTTCTTCAGTAGATTTACTCATCTTGACAGTAAGAAAAACAAATGAAAATTAAACATTTTTCAAATTTGAATTCGGAATTATCTTCTTTAAAATTTATTTTTTTTAATGATATCAATACTAGCCAGATACAAATGGTCTGGCCAAAGAGATTTTATTACAAAGTCATAAATACAAAAATGGGAAAAGACTTTCCCCCAACCTATTATAATATACTTTCAAAGAACATATTTTATTCTGGATCCCGCGTGATCCCGTGCGGATTGAGTAACCCCGCATATCAATCCCGTGAGATTGAATCAGCAGCGGGATTGCAATCCCTAATCTAGTGTCTTGTCTGATTGAAAGGTTGCAATTTTTATTTTTTAAATTCTCCAAATCATAATCTATCAGATGGCGTAAAATTAAAAAAAACACATATGGATGCATTTTATATTAATAAATGGACGTAACGTAATTAATAAAAGAATAAATTAAAGGTATTCAGCTCAGCACTTTATTTTATAGTATGTTTTTTTATAAATTGTCAGTTATTTATCTAAATCAAAAGTTCTGTAAAAAAAATACGATGTTTTATTTTTATTTTTCTGATCACACGTTCCCTGATTTATGCTGGGACAGGAAACACTGTAACACTGTAATTTCCCAAAGTCCCCTTTGTCTTCATAACAAAACTTGCTCCGTGGCTTAGTGATGAAAGCGCGGCAAATCGACAGACATTAGTTTTATACGCCGATGTCATCACACATATAAAAGGTCAAAACACTAACTGAGTTATTCATGACACATTCTACTTAGTTGCTCGCGAAGCTACTTACCTAGTTAGTAGTTTCTGCAGTTGTTTACAAAGTTTCGGAACAGATAAGAATAACTAGCTCTTGTTTGAAGCACATCATAGTTTGCATGCCACTGCTAATGAATACTGTTGAATTAAACTGTGGCGAAGTCGTTATGGAGAGGAGCTAATGGAGGTTGGCGTGTTCGGCCTGCGATCGTTGAAGTTAAGCAACTTTCGCAATGCACCGAGCACCCATTGGATGGGTGACCAAAAACTTATTACCTCGAGCTCCTCTATGCTTCGGAAAGCACCTTAATAAGGCCCAGGCTGCATCTGCAGTCGTTAGCACCCAGCGATCCGCACTGTTCTCGGGTGGTGGGACACTGCCCAATCTCACTATTCCATCCACTGCTGGCGCACAGGCCTACCCTAGGCCTGTGCGCCAGCAGTGGGGACATTAATAGGCCGATGATGATGATAAATTCGTTATGCACTATGCGATCATGTTACCTAACGAAAAGCTTCAAGCTTCAACATTTATATCATGCATTGAAATGGGTGAACAAAATTCCAATTTATTTATTTTTTCTGTCCTGGTGATATTCATCCCAGGTTCTAATCCCGGTTTGGGTTAAGTCAGTATAAGTATTCTATCCGTTACCCTAGTATTCCATAACACAAGCCTACAACAGTACTTACTTTAGGGCTAGGCAAATTGGTGAGAGTGTTGGAATTATTTATTTATATTTTATCTAAAATGTTTCTTATATATCTCCAATTTGACAATAATGATGTTTTATATAAGAATAAAAAATCTCAGACATTACCAATCTACTTTTTATTTTTGCATATTGAATATGGTAATTCTTATAAAATTAAAGGGAAGATAAACATTTACTTGCTGAAGATTTCATCCTTTGTTTATTCACTTATTGGGATTTTCTTTAATAAGAACACTTTACAACGTTTTTTTGTGATGTGTGGTGTTGCTTAAGCTAAGGTATTTATTAGTCGCCTAATTGTAGATGGAAGTAAGAGCAGCTCTTTGGCGCAAGTGGTTAGCGTTTTCGGCTGCGATCGTTGAAGTTAAGCAGCTTTCGCAGTGGTCGGTCATTTACTTGGAGACCAAAAATTATGTATCTCAAGATTCCTTTAGAAGGCATGTTAAGCCGGTTTCGGCTGCATCTGCAGTCGTTTACACCCACCAATCCGCACTGGGCCTGCATGGTGGGTCATGACCCAATCTCCCTAATCCATCCATAGGAAAGGCCTGTGCCGCAGTGAGGACATTTATAGGCTGATGATGATGATGAAGTGTAGATTGGTACAAACGGACATAAAATTACTGTTAATTACATCAACCATACCGTACGGTGGATATAATTTAAGAATCTTTTAATTCCTGGTTATAATTATAACTAAAATAACGTAATTGGCATAAGCTGGAGTTATTGCAATTTAAATTATAACGGTACGTATGATCCGCGTGCCACAGTAAAAAATCAAAGCAGAAATTCAATGTCATTATAAAAGGAAAATATTTAAATGATCCTCCAAAAATTATAAGTAATCACCTAAAAATAGAATTGGTAACCTTAAGGTTAGGTTAGGTTACCATATTTTTTTTTTCAGGCCCTATTACTGTTTTTTACGATCATTTAAATATGTGCCTTTTAAAAGTAATGTACGTACACGGTAAAATAATTATCCAGAAGTATTTTATGAGATATAGTTGATTTGCAGCAATTGATACGCATGTCTGGACATGGAACTTCCATCCAATAGAAGACCACAATAAAAGATTAAAGGACACCCGTCTAGCCTATGAAGACCGCTTACCATCCAGCAACATGCCTATTTGCTATGCTTTTTACTTCAAAAATACGTAATAAGGTAATATTATTACAATAGTTACGTCCATTTTAACGCCTTTTTCTATCTAAACTTGCGTCTTACTTTGTATTCAGTTACATCTTACTGAAAACTTGCTTACTGAGCAAATTTTCTTTGTGGTCATGTAGGCAATTAATGGTATTACGTTAATTCCCTTAATCCTAAATGTAAAACAAACATAAATTTCATCCGTTAAAGAGATTACTGTTGATTCAGAAAGCAATATGCAAACATGTGAAGGTATGCCAATATTTCTTTTATTTTTGTTATCCTTACGATACAGTAACATTTTGATTGTTATTATTTATTTAACTGTAGCATAAATTTTAACTTAGACTACACTAAAAGGTTTATTTCTGTTATAACCTATTTCCCATATATCAACCCGAACCCTTTTAGCTTTTTGTATGGGACACATAATTATAGATCCATAATCATAATACGTACAGTTGATATGGGTTCATAACTGACCTTAAGAACAGTGATAGTAAATAACATAAAAAATATGAAAGCTCATTAAATTAGGCAGTAACGCAGATTTCTTTATTACTGAAATAGAAATGAGTAGGAATTCTGGAGTTGTCGTTGAATTTTTCTAGGAAAATTAGTTTAATGATCTCGAAAAAAAATAGAATTTTTTCCTATTAAAATTATAAACGTGAAAGTGTGTTTTTACTCAGTCATTCAAAAACGCCTGAATGGATTTGTATGGAATTTGGCACATATTATTTATATTAATAGGCGGATGATGATGATTTACATGAAATTTGTATTACATGGAATGAATTCATTATCATATTTTCATTCATGAAGTTTTTATTACGGAAAACTTTCACTGCGGTCGCGGGCAGCCGCAAATCAATAATATTTTTAAGCAATTTACATTTGAATAACCCTGCTTTTCATTTGTCTGTTACTTTCATTATAATCATGAGCAGACTATTAATTACCCCACTGCTTTGTTATGTTAAAAGGGTGGCAAAAAAGCTAATAGCCCGACTGACGGTAAGTGGCCACGATAGCTTATAGACGCTTGCGATACCAAAAATATCACTCGCAACGTTGCTAAGCCTGACCCAATCACCTATTCCGTGGATCCATGGAACCTTACTCACTGAAGAAACACAACACCACCAAAATATTGTGTTATTTGCTGTAAGATGGAGGTTACTTACTTCCACAGGTGCTCTACTTATGCGGAAAATCCTTTATACCCTTTTTTAAATCTTCGCGGCTCGACTCTATCACCACTTAAAATCAGATGGGGTAATCTGCCTACCTAGCTATAAAAAGATTTTTTTTTAAGTTACACTTTCATCGTGGTTTCATAAACTCACAGCGATTATTTTATTATAAAGGATCAGTCCATAGGTGAAATGAATTTGTTTTTCATCAAAATTTGTTATTTCGTGTATTCATGTCCACCGTATTCACCATGCATTCACATTTCTGACTCTGACCCCACAAAACAAGAAGACACATCTTTGATTGTAACGTGACAACGAAAAATATCGCCAGGCAAACGAAAACAAAAGTCGAAACGTGACTTTCATAATATTCTGGATTCTGTATCACATCCAATCACTGGTAGCTGGATCAAGAACTTTTTGTGTTAACTAACTTAATGATAACTAAAAGACATTTCTCTTAAGTAACTTTCATGACAAATATCTTTTATAAATATGACTTGATTATCTGCTGTTATTTGTTTCTTATTAAAGTCAAGTAAAGGATCCTTTAATTATATAGCAACACGATAAAAGAGATGTCACTAGCTCTTAAGTTGAGTTAAATAATAATGTTGCAAGTAACTATAAAATTTAAACGGCCCTCTTGTGCTGGAACACGAGCGAAAGAAAGACCGAATGCAGCAACTAAGTACTTACATTTCCGTATAGACTACAAAAGCCAATTTTCGAACAGAGTATATTGATAAACTTGGGATTTAAGCTTTAGTTATTATATATATATATAAATATTTATTACTCGATTTGGATGAAAGGCAGAAATATAGTTTTTTACCTGGATCCAGATATAAAATACTTTTTATTCAAGGCTAACACTGAGCTTACTAAACGATTATTAAGATTGACAACTTCTAACATCCCTTACCACAACTAGGATATTACATTTTTATCATAAATAATCATGGATTTTCCTAAAGATGATAAAGAAATTGTAGTTTTTTTAATAGAGAAATGTACATCATCATCAGCCTATTAATGTCCCCACCGCTGGGAAATAGAGTCTGAGCCATCGCGCAGACCCAGACCCATTGATGGGTACTAACGATAACGACTGCAGATGCAGCTGGAACCAACCCGTACTTGTGCTTCTACTTCTTCTTCTAAAGCATGGACGAGCTCGAGATAATTAAGTGTTGGTCACCCATTGGATGACCAGCCATTTCGAAAGTTGCATAACTTCCTGATCGCAGACTCAATGTGCTATACACTGAAACCATTGACATCTATCAAGCAGCAAAATGAAAACAATTTTTTAGTCTTATTTTTTCTTGTTCTTAAAATTGCTTTTGTTGCAAATTCGTGTTTTTTTTTGTATTACAGTTTTATGGCGCTCAGTGCATTGTTTAAGGCCTTCGCCGTTCATTATATTACGTGCGTTTTAATGTTTGTTTAGAAGTAGATTTCTTTAAAATATTATATTGTTTGAATTAAAATAATGTTATAAAATATTTTTATTGTTTTCTTTAAACTAATTGAAATTTAACTAGGTACTTTAAAATTAATCGATAGTATTATATAAACTGTTAAGTAAAACCATAGTGGACTTTATTTACATAAGTTGGACGAAGTTAATATTTGAATTTCGCAACGGTCTTTTTGTGCAATAGGGCTTTAATGTCTTAGGTATGCCACGGCGCTGAATTTATAGTATATATATTTATATTTATTTAATTATTTTGGTAAATGATCAGTTTAAAAGCTATTCTCTCCATTATCCTTTATATGTTTAATACTTGTTAAGGTCATTCATCTTCATTTGACATTGTGGGATACCTACAATGGGATGAGATGGCGTTGCCTTGCAGCCTAAGGCTAGAGAAAATTCGACACGACCATCAGGGCCGCGGTAGCATAATGGTCAGTGCATTCGCCCGAATAGCGAAGGGTTCGAGTCCCGTCTGCTAGTCTAGTAAAATTTTCTTTAGATTTAAACATCTAGCAGTTAAATGCTTAAAAAATATAGATATATAATTATATTTATTTATTTAGAATAGAGGACGTCGTTAGCGCTGCCGTTGCATCAACAGGTCTTCAACAAGATTTCCTTTCCCGTAAATTGAACGTTCATTTCATACACAATAAAAGCTTGTAAAAAGATCAAAATTTATCGATATTTATTTGCATAAAATAATAATAAACAGTGATTCTTTAAATTTTAATCGCAGGTTTGTTAAAAACATAATGTCACTCATAAAACGCAAAAATTACTCCCGCGGACCATTCATTCAGGTAAACATTGTACTGCGATTAAAAATAAATGCCTTATTAAGCGGTTCTTGAAATTCCCTTTAGTACCAATGCTTTTTATATATCGTTTGTATACATAGGGCTCTGGTGCTTTTAAAACTTCCTTTGAGGCTCCGATTCGGGTTCGGGGAGACTTTCACACTTAATTAAGCATTACTTTATGATTGTATTAATAATTTAGCAGTATATTTTAGCTATCCTTTTAATTAACTCAGAGTAGAATTTTAATAATATTGCGGGAATATTTTTAAAGAGGTGAGGTGTTTAGATTTTGATGGTCTTATCACCACAAAATATCATAGTGTCAGATTATTATTGCAGAAATCATTTAAGCTTACGTTTACAGAATGTAAGTTTTACTTAGTTTATTTAAAATTATTTGCAAATCAAAAGCCATTTAATGATTAAATTAAACTATTTTTAACTGGCAGTCTTTTCAGGTCTGCATCGTCAGAATAATGATTTTTTATTTAATGGTTATTAAAGATAATTTTGATGACAATTTTACAGTTTGTTGAGAAGAATTTAATACAGAAATGTTATCGAAATTTTCGTTACAGCACTTATTTAGGGAACTGTCGAGAACCTAATGGCGAGTGTCATCATCGTAGCCCTGAGATTTAACTCCGTAGACTACTAAGTCTACGGAGTTAAATCTCAGGGCTATCAATTGCGTGTAACAAATCATAAGATCTAAGGTCTCTTTAAATTGGCCTTGCTAATATAAATAATATTATACACCGTGAAATTTGAGTTCTCTGAGAAACTTAACTAGCTAAATCAGACAAAGATTTTGGTTATATTTCAGCGAAAAAACTTTTTTCTTCATTCATTTCAAAAAATGTCTCCTCGTTAACTTACTAATTTTGTAATTATAAAACCTTAACAATTTTTATTGTTTCTTAGTTTTTTAGATTCAATTATATTCTAAATACTTTTATAATCTACGTACTTTAAATGGATAATCATTCCATAATAGGTAAGTTATTTACAAATATGAGTCGTTTTAGGATATTCTGTAACCGACTGTCCGCACTATTTTCATTTACTCGGTTTTTAAGTTTCTCGGGTAACTCAAAATTCAAAGTGTATATGTATTTGTGAATGTTGTTGTGTATTTTATTTGGACACAAACCGTCATTGTACAGTACCTGAATGTTTTGTAAATAAACAGAGTATCCGGCCGTGTATTTATTTTGGTCGACAATTAAACAGTGTAGTAACGAGCGAGCGCATCTGCCGACATTAGGGCTGCTGACCAGTAAACATTATTCGTTTATTTTAAAAGTTTTGGTAACACTAATTACAAAAGATTTTCCTTTGTAACATCATACGGAAACTGAAATATACCAAACGATATTTATTAAAATGTTCACATAATTTTTATTAATATCTCCTGACTCTATTGTATATCGGTATTGTTGCTAAGTAAGAAAATTTGCTTGATCTATTAGGATAATTTGTAGTTGCATCTCAAACCAGCACAGAGAATAATTCTCACTTTATTTCACTCCCAGTCTACCTACTACTACTCTGCCAATACTTATTGTTTATACATTTTTAAAGTGAAACTTTAATTACATTGCTACATTTTATTTTCGTTCGTCGCATTCCATTTTGAATTGTTATAAAAATCAGACTTCTCTTTTAAATTCAGCCCGGGTTCCCTTCCCATTGATGAAGGATTTTTTTTTCCATCTATCTTAATATTATAAAGAGAAAAGACACTGAAATTTCACTTGCGTCGTGGTTTCATAGACTACATTATATTTTTATTTTTTTGTCTCAAGCTTTTGCAATGTATGTATCCCACAGCGTGTGAATATGTGAATGAACAGTTGAAATTATTGAGTATGTATTTTTTTATTTATATTACCGTTCCTCTGTCAGTGTCAGCCCTAACAATGAACTCGGGCAAGTAAAAAAGTTGCGATACAGAACCACCAGCGCCCTTCCTCAATCGTTAAACAATTAGTGCCGTTTAAATTGCAGAACTCATTGCTCTTGACC